TTTTTTTTTTTTTTTTTTTTTTTTGAACATTTGAATTTTCTGATGCCCACGAGTACTCTAAGTAACTTGTGACAGTTGAAAAACCGATTTATCTCTTGGTTCACTTCATAATGATTAGAAGAATTACGTGACATTGTTACTCGATATTTTTAATTTTCCGCACGCACGCACGGTCGCACGCTATTAGAAATTTAAGGCAACAGATTTCTCAATATATTTCTTTAATAGTTCGGATGGTACAGTGCGCATCCTGCAATTAGAAATTTATTATGAGAAACGCAAAGTATAGACGAGAGGCGTGACATCGTCCGTCGATTTCTCACGAGTCACGGTCGGCAGGCGAATGTTTTTAATATTATTCTTCTGTCATTAATAGCGCGGACCACATTAGACCCGCCATTAGAAATTTAATTACAGGCGAATGCGATACGATATCGAAATTTTTCACTGGTGACACACTATAATTTTTTAACAGACATACATATGTTTTTAACGATCCAGTGCACATGTTAAGAACTTAGGCTCACATATATTGCAGTGTTCTATATCATTTGAATAGAAATTTTTGTGATTTTAATATCGAAGATAAATAGAAATGGGAAGAATATTTCTGTAGAAATTTGATAAGAAGAACTGATAATAATATAATACTAAAATACTCTTCGATATCGAAAATTATTCTAAATTATTCTCCAAACTTGTAAAATGTTTCAATCTCGAAACAGACGAAATAAATACAAGGCACGAATTATAAAATTTCTAATTTTTGCGTCGAAGTTCGCTGGAAAACGAAGCAGCGTGAAATCATTTACAGTTATCCGGATCGGGAGACTTTTCAGAAGTGCCTGTCTTATGGGGAATAACTGTCGCTGGCACGAACGCATAAACGGAGCCCATCTGTTCACGTGTTCACCGTTGCACGCCGAGGTCGTGACGAAACTGATTATCGTCGAAAATTGGACGATTACCGATCTGACCGGCTAATTACGACAACGGGAACGAATTGACGTCAAGAAGATCGTAATTGAAGCTCCATTCTCCATTCAACCTTCGATGAAATCCTCGTTCGCTTGAATTACATAAAATGGAATGATATTCGTAAAATAGGATGGTCATCTCTATCCAATGTATGAAATCCTCCTAATATTTGTATAAAATCTACCTCTGTACTTACGAGATGTGTTTCATTTACAAATCATGAAAGATTCTTTAACTTTTTAACTTCTAAACATTCCTGATTTCTCCACTTTAAACGCTCGTTCTCTGAATATTCAAGTTTCGGAACAATTTAGCGAACGCAATCCAGTATTTTCTCTTTCCAATGGATTTGAAATTTAAATGGAGGAATTAACCATGCGCGAACCTTGTCTGATCAGATTTAATCGAAACGAAGACGGCAATGCCTAATTGATGAGCACAAAATCAAAGAGACCTGTAACTGTAACCTCGATTCAATTTTCGAAAAAATGCAATTAACCGGTGAATATGTTCAAGGAAACGTTGTACCAAAAAATTAGATGAGTTTTTGAATTGTTCATTGCACGAAACACACCTACAGCGAAATACAGTTTTAAACGCGCATCAAAGAATGGTCCATAAACCTGAAGAAAATTTATTTCTCGTGTTTACGAGGCATTCACTCAATCTCATTAATTAGATTGGTTATATTTCTTTAAAATCAACAGTATCTTGCAGAACAAATTTGATCTTTCTTTTTCTTTCGTTTTCTTTATCTTAATCTTTCCTACTATTATCTTTCGAAACAATTAAAAAAAAATTCGCCTCAAGAAAAACTAAGTCGCTCAAAATCCTTCATTGAAGTTCTAAAAGATCTTTTCCTTTACTATCAAATTTTACCAAACCAGTAGTTTTGTTTTTCGCCATCAATTTACGATCAATTACGAGGTAAACACCAACTGATGGATTTTTAGATGATTGTCATCACTGCCGGATGACGGAGGATCTTCATTTACGCGGCTGCCGCGCCGAAGGCAACGGTATTAAGGTCGACAAACAGATTACAGCATCACGTGTCGACGAATCGCGTGGAGAAGCTAATGTACGAGGCCGGATTTAAAGCGTGCGGATCGTTCAACTTACAATTACCAAGTTCACGGCTCGTTTACCGGCCGAGTTCGGTCTAATGGAAATCGAATAAACGAACGGAAGCAGCCGGACGCACGAAATTGCTCGCGTGCGAGGGAAAATCGTGTCGAAGACGTCTCTTTCGCGGTGAAAATGCCAATTTAAGATAAATGCTTGGATAAATCGAAGAAAAATCTACGTTGAAGAAAGTAGAAAGATTTTGAATGGAATTGCAAATACTGTAACGTGTTGGTAACGTGATAATTAGTAGATAATTGCGGTGAAAGGAGATGAAGGAATATTGTCATGAATGTTATTTTTTCATTTACTAATGGAGGTCACTCTTTTTTTTTTTAAGAATTGAATATAAATATTACGTACTCGAGCACAATGAATCTGAGAAAGAATAATTTTTAGATGATTAAAAAATGTAGTTTTAATAACCCAATACCTATTTCAAAGGACTTTAAACCTCTTATTAGAAAATTACTTGAAATTATCAACTGCTTATTTGCAAATAAATAAAAAATGATTGGAAAATATAACTCTTATAATCTAATATCCATTCCAAATCTATTATCAAATAATTTTGGTTTCTCCTCGTCAGAAAATACTATACAGTCTAGTAATAAAAATGAATAAAAGTAGAATATTTCAATCGTTGAAAAATATAATTTTATCATCCACTTAGGGCGAATTCAAACCAATTATTAAACATATCGCAAAAATAACCGAAGCAAAAATAAATGAAGAACGTAGCAACCCGTTCCTGGATCAAAAAGTCCATCAAACGTTTCTACAGAACGTGATCTTGAAAATACAGAACAGGATACTCCGCTTCACATCTTAATAATCCACTTACTTTCCAATACTGCTCGATCTCAATCTCTCCGAAAACTCCTCAAACAGAATCTCCCGACCAGAAGTTTCCCAAAGTTTCTCGAAAAACACCAACGCACCACCGCCGTGAATCCCATGTTATTCGTATGAATCACTCATCAGTATCGATCATCCATAATTCTCCAGATTTGTTTCATCTTCTATCATACAATCACACTGAGTAATATCCTCGCATACTCCGTTCGAGTTCACAAACTTTTTACTTTCACGAATTTTCGACGAGCGAGATCGAACTGAAAAATTCCAATTTTTCGCCACCCGCCGGAAAACACGCGAGCAGAAGTTGTCATTGACGATCGACCTTGGCCGCGAGTCGATCCGGATGACCGTCGACGTGAAACTGGCAGGGATGTTCCGCAGGAGAGACTCGAGTTCTCTAGTCAGTGAGTCGGCTCCTCCACACTGGAACGAGGTGGAGGAGGAGGAGGAGGAGGAGGGGGAGGAAAAGCAGGAGGAGCAGGAGGATGAAGATCGACGGAGAGAGATCTTCCGCGGCTCTTCTCCGGCGTCTCCGCGGGAAGGGTGAACGTCTGGCCGCCGCTTTTTACCGGAAATCTCGCGTGTCGTATCGCGCCGCTGACACGTACGCATCATTGTGATTAATTCGTCCGCAATCAGTATTTCTCTGCCGCGGATCTGACGTTGATGGCGTGGGTGAGGAATGGAAAGTGTTGCTGTGATTGATTTTTCGAGAGAAAGATGGGCCCGAGTATTTTCCACGTACCAATCACACGGTACATACGGATAGAAATATTAATTTTTGAATTTTCAATGAAACGTCTAACATCTCTGAATTTTTCGATAAAGTGGAGAATGTTAATTTTTATATGTGGTCATTTGAAATAACCGCGGATTAGATCGGTATTCAATTCTTGGATAAAAAGTGGATCATTTAGAGATATTAGTTTTTAATTATAAGAGGTATCAATGGAACGAATATCAATTTTCGTAAGATATATGTAAATCTAAATTTTTGTGTCGGAATTTTTTTATGCAACTTTCATATCGAGTATTTTATAAAGAGTGGTTGGGAAAGTAGGGTAACGTAGGAATATTAATTTCGAAACTTCAAACATCACGATCAAACGTAATCAATGATTGCAACTTTTGTGCAACAGAGTCGTGCAAATTACAATAGATAGACTGGTAATAATAGTTCATTCGAATTCCTGGTAATAATAGTTCATTCGAATTCCTGCTGTAACAAGAAAGAAAAAAGAAATTCAGTAGTAGGAAAGTAGGTCGAAATCTAGTTGCGTATATTATGTTAATTATCATGCATTTAAGGTGCATTTTGACCATTATTCAGGGGGGATACTGTAATTATACAGAAGGCTTGGAGAACGTCCCTGTTTCCTATTGCTAATTTAAAATCGCTTGAAATCGATATGAAATCATAAAAGACAATTAATTCTCATTGTTTCTAATCGCTGATGAAAAGGTTTTCCACATTTTTTACAAAATAATTTTCCAACTTAGTCCTGATCCCACAAGTAATTATTCTAAAAAATTCCGATTCTCTTTCATAGATAAAAGATTAGACTTTAGAGTAAAAATTACAGACGAATCGAAACTTTGGTACTCCTAGAAAAAAAAAGAAATCCGTACACATTTTATCTGGACGAACTATAACATGTCAGCACAAATAAAGTAATTCAAGTCCCTCTTCAAAATGTCTAGCCGAAAAGTCAGACGATGCTAACAGTATAGTATAACGAGAGCTGCTCTGAAATACAGTGTTTCTGGTTTGTTGCGGAGAGTGACCATCCAGTGACCAACATATTTCCTCCGACCGGGAAAGGACGGGCGCGGGGTCAAGGAAACACGAAGAAGCACGGATAGAACACGAAAAGAGAAAGAAGCAGGCGGGGGAGAAGCTGGGGAGCACAGTCTGGATTCTCTGGTTTCCGTCGCCGGTCCTCGTCGACGTGGTAACGCGGTAACCGATAACGGTACCGCTGGCTTCGACGGTGTTCACCAATGTGAGGGTACTGTTATTCCAACGATGCGGTTACCTTCTCTGTTCCACCAGAGACTGCTGCTCTCGCACGTCCTGCTTCTTTGCCGACCGGCGAGCGTGAAGTAACCGTGGATGGTTGTTAGTCGCTTTTTAGCGTTCGACAGGAACGTTGCCGGCGCAGGAATGCTGGAAAAATTGAATAACAAGTGGGATATATATCTATAGTAGATCGTTGACGATTTTTTGGGACTGAGAGTGAATGGTAATTTTCTGAATTGGACAAAGTTCAGCAAGAATGATGAGAATGATGGATTGGATTTTTCTGTAACTGAGGATAAAATTGAACATTTCTATTTTATAGAAAGAAATGGAACTTGAAGGTAAAGAAGTGGATGTTGCAGGTAAACGAAAGGATTGGAATAGGAATATTCTTTTGTCCAAAGAGAAGTGAAACTCCAAGGCGTAGAAATTGAAATAAACTTTTTATTTTACGAAGGAGGGTTAATAATTCGGTGTTGGGTAGATAGACGATTGTAACACGTCTTTGTGCCATGGAAATAAATAAGATTTGGAGGCAACTTGGAGGAATTCGTGTTTTGAATGGAATTTGGATTGGTAGGAATGTAGATAGGTATTAGATACTTACGCAGTCAGCCATTTCAGTAGAGCAATTTTAACGAGGGTGATTTATGACTGATCAAGTTTTCTAACAGCTGTGGCACGTAGAAGATATAACAAGTGGGAACAATCTGATTATAAAGTCAGATGAGAGAATTAAGAGGTTCTAATAAACGTATATTATAAACCTGTAAGTTTCAAAATCCTCCTACACTACCATACATTTTTTTTTTTAATTTTAATTCAAACTTTGATCCGTGAGAAACGTCCGTTCTCAGACGAACGTTTGATTTTCTTCTCATCTTGCAGCTGACATTGGAAGCTAGATGGACCGCGTTAGTTACGCTTACACTTACATAATGATTACTAATGTGATCGCTCGTACGAGACGAGATCAAAGTTCATCTTGAAAGAAGGTAATCTCGGAAAGAGCAATTTTAACGGTACAAGAACGCTGTAAAATATGCTCGTTCATATATTCGCTGTGAATTCATTTGCATATTTTAATTTTATGTTTACGTTCCTCGCAGCTGCTCGCTCTTTTCACCATTATTAGTAACATTATCGCGGCGAAAGTAATCATTCGAACGATAAATGCGCTCACGACCAATTTTTTTCTGCTTTCTTTGTCGAGCAACTCTGTCCCAAAATTTAAGCCTAACAACTTTAAAGAGATTTCAATAATTAGAGTTTCCTGATTTATTCTACCCAGTATTCACAAGTTATTTGTATATTTCTCGATGTTAGTAAGAACTTCCACTTACACGTGACTTATTTTAATTTAATACGCCAAGAATGCAAATTTCAAGGAGAAACAATTTTTGTAATAACAAAAAAGAAACTTACGAGAAACAGTCGTTTCTAAAATTCTAAAACGTACGATTTGCAGCTATTACAGAACAATCTCGTCGCTTGGCCATCAAAGTTGGCCGTGTTATTTGCAGTTTATTCGAAAGAAACGTAAAAGTTGAGAGGGCAAGAACCGATAACGACAGCAAGAATCGTGATTGCACCTACTTTTTAAGTTCTCGGAAGGCAAAGACAAAGTTCCTCCTTTCCCGTGTTCGCGGCCGCCTCGATTAAAACCTGCCGGCGATTTTACAATAATGTCCAGTTATTTTACGCATTGTACCATTACACGACTACGCGGGTATCGTTTCGTCCAACGACAGTTGCTGGATACCGCTTCGAAGCGGAAGTTATCGCGGCTTATGATTTTTCATCATCGACTCGCTTTCGCAGCTGTCGCCTGTCCCCCATTTTTGTGACTTTTTATTTTATTTTCTTTTTTTTTCAACTCTCGATTACGCAAGATCTTCACACAAATATTCCAACCATACAAATATCCTTCGGTCTTCGAGAATTATCTTCAACGAGGCAATTTATTCTGTCATTACGTACTCTGTGTCAAATTTCTTTTCGAAGTTTCTTTTTTTCGACTTTTCTCAATTTTTGGTCGTGGAATTATCTTGAATAATACCGTTTGCTTCGTAATCATAGCACTTAATCATACTTTCATTGGTCTCACAATCGATTTCGTTATATCTTCCCGAAGGCGATAAATGGACATTCAAACTATACCACGGTGATAATTGCTCTTCGGTTACATCCTTCTGCAAAAGTAGAACGAAGTACAATTGGAGTTCTTCGAAGGAAATGGCTGATCGTCGGTCCTTAAGTGCAATTCAACACGTGTATTTCCCAATATAGCAGACGCAGATAATTTATTACGTCTATTGATGTCATCCATTGTATTTATAGCAGTAATAGCGCTATAATAATAAGCGATGCCTTGGAAAAAGAAGTTAAGAGTAACTGTTACATCCGTACGTTGCTTCTATTAAAATATTGCACCTAGAGCTTGCAACAAAGAAAAAAAAAATCTAAAGAAAATTAAAACACAAACGATTGTGAATCCCTCAATTGTGAACAGTAATTTAATTAACTTAATTCACGTGTCATTTCTCTTTTCCCGATTCAGAAACGGACACGATTATCCACACGCTGTTACCCGTTTATTATTCAGGCAGGTTTTTTTTTAAAGATTGTCATTGTGCTCCTCGCTGCTTGTTTCCTCTTGATCCAGTCGCGAGCGTGCACGACGCAATTACACAGTCTGCTTCGTACGAAAAGGAACGCGCGATTGTCAACGGCTGAGAAACGCGCGGACAATTGGAGGTAATACTGGAATTTATCGTGCCTCGACTCTCTTGGCCTTCGTGTTTCTTTCGGACTCGGTGACCTAGACGATGGAAGGTGTAATTTGGTCTCCTCCAGTCTTTCATCTTTTTTGCGCGGACTCGAGAGTTTCTGCCCAGCTGTAATTTCACCAGCTTGGCTCTTCTTGAAAAATTTCAATACTTTCCCTCGCAGAGGTCTTTTACGTATTTTTAGAAGTAATTGTAATTGCGTCTGTTATAATTATATATTAATATATATAATTATAACATTAATATATATTATATATTGTAATATTAATATATATATAAAATTATAACATTAATATATATTGTATATTATAATATTAATATATATATAATTATTTAGTTATAAAAATAATTGCCGTGCCGCGCATCTTCAGAAATAATCACAATTTGCCTCCATTCTACAACAATTCGCAATTTCAACAGTAATTGTTACAATTTGTAAAATTTATGCAAAATTATAAATTTATACAAAATATAAATTGTAAAATATACAAGGTTTCACTTTAGATAATAATTGTTACGAAAGAATCTTTTCATCTCTGTTTTCAGTTAATTTTATCACTTGCAGAATTCGAATCACCATACAAATAATGTCACGCAAGTGTTCCAAAGTCTCATCAAGACTCCTGTCCATCAAGAGATCGGTGATAAAGGCAAGAAATTCATCGCGCTGCAGAGAAATTTTCGATGAAATATGGTAACGGTGCATCGTACGATCCGCGAGTCGCCTCGATTACACGGTCCCGTTAGAAAAATAAATTTTACGAGTAATTAGATGTCGATCGATAACCGACGAACGGAATTTCACGAATGACCGTGTCGTTTCGTCGTTGACCTTGTTTCTGCCTAAAAATCCTATACGCCTGTGCGTGCACGTGTGTGTAACTGTAAATCGTCGCCTTCTAACTGTAATACGGGCTATCGACGTTCCCATGGCGAAATTACCCGACAAAGATCAACATTCGCGAACATTAAAATTTTTACACGATCAATTTTCGCAACGTTGGTACCACTTCTCGAAGTGAAACGTCTTCGAGGACCTCTTGCTAATTAGTTAATTGTAAAATTATATGGTTGTGTGGAAGGATACTTTCCTTGAGACGACACATTCCGATCGATGATTAACTTCGACGTGAAAATAGCTGTTAGGCACGCGAGGTTTCCCCGCTCCTTCTCTATTATTTTTTTTTTTTTTTTTTATGCAGATGCGTTCGTTATCTTGTAACTTCTTTGCTTGAGAAATACTTACGCTATGCGTAATTGTCCTTCGATTATAATTACGATTGTGAATCCTTTCGTTGCAAACGATTCATGAAAAAAATGACTTCAAGAAGAATGTGTGATCGGCGAGGAATTCGTGGGAGATCCTGAAAACATTCATTGGAAAAAGGTCTCTGATTGCTCAAGCAATTTAAATCGTTCTTGTTTGAAAATTAGTCAGAAAGGAAAGACGAGGAAAATCCTTTGTGAGAAAAAAAACTCTCGAAGATTGTAAAAATGACGAACGATTCTAAAAATGTTGAAGAAGTTTCTGCTCTCCACGCTTGAGTTATTCTACTGAATGCACAGTCATAGGAATCCCACGATTTCGTTGCTGATAGTTTACGTAGAATCGTATTATAATTTATGAATTATTCGCGATGCTCGGTAACTTTTGTTTGTAAATTTCAATTTGTATAACGGGATTGCTCGCGTTAGCATTGTTTCGGTACTGTTATACAGTTCGCTCCCATGAACACTTATGCGATACAATATTACCGCTTATTGGAGAAGATTAATTTGTTTAAAAAAAAAGAGACAGAAAAAAAATCGTCAAAGAGAAATGTACATATCCTTCTTACAGAAGTAATAAAAGTCACTCGCGAAAAATAAGTCGCGCATCGTAACGCGCATTGACGAGAGGACTTATGTAATAATAGAATTCATCGTAGCGTGCGCGAAATTATGGATGACGTTATAATTCGCCGATAACGATTCGTGAAGTGTTATTTGCAGCCTTACGCAATTACGTTCACAAACATCACCTGATGATTGCATCAGTAGATCGATCTTAACTCTCAACTCCTCTTTCAATATATATATGTATATATATAAATACAAAATTTCACCGACAGGAATCGACAATTTTTACAAAAAGTAGTTTTGCAAAAAGTCGAAGAATCAAAGAACGGAACGTGGAATTTCTGACGTTACGTCAGACGCAGATGCGCAACGAAGGTCGGCCATCGTGCATCCATAATTCAAGGTTGTTTCTCTGCACGTCCTTTACATCTCTATTCGTCGTTCAAAAGCAATCGTCCATCATCATCGAGGAAGCTCGTCTGAGTATCAAGGTGTAATTTCAGTGGTAATTTAGACGTTTGAGTATTTTTTTTTTTCTTTTTTTTTTTTTATGGCACCCGAAGGAAAAAGAACGGCGTACAAACGCGCACGACGTACGATAATTAACTGCAGGAACGCGAATCGGTTGGATGCGCTCGACTTGCTGCAAGGTTGGCACGTTTAGACAGCTGATGTCGTCGTCTCGATCCCCCGATGATCTATGGATCGTCAAGAGTCGCCGGACTAATAAATCGTGACCGTTTTAAACCGTTCTCGACGATTAAACGCGACGATTGGTAACGATTACAGGCAACGAGGCTTTTCTTTGTGGTTAACGGGTTCACCTGTTTGGTAAATTTGTTCGACTGGAGAAGAATTAATTATGGTTGTTATAGTACCATAACTCTAAGAGATAACGTGAAGCTTATTAAAGTATAAAAAATAATTCTATTACTACGAGAAAGTGGCTTGGAGCTCTCTACTACTCGCCGTGAGAAGATTCTCAATTTCGAAATTAAATCAAACGTCTTCGATTTATTAACCGAAGCCTTCAAAAGAGCCTTCAAAAATATCAAATCAACGATCGTGAAAATCTCCAAAGGGATTCCAAAGAAGCAAGTAAAAAGGAGAGAAGGAGACGAAAGAGATTCAATCGAAAATCCAAGCACGTTCCAGGGAAATAGAACTCGTCTAACGTAGGTCTACCAGCTGCAAGGACTTGTGACAGAAGAGTTCGACGAGACTCGTTCGCAGAAACACTGACGTTGAGGAATAGGAGAGAAAAATGAAAAAGGAAAGAGGTGTTCCACTTAGAAGACGACCGATCAAGGCGATTTGCATTCCAGGGACGTTTGCCGCGATCGCGAAACTGGCGTATCGTCAGCTGTGGTTAACCCTGAAAATTACACGCGAGAACGGAATGTGGTCGACGATTGAGACCCGCGTGCGTTCGTCCGGCGAACGCGTTGGCGTGCGCTATACTTATTTCGCACATCGAATCAATTCTATTATTTTCGGGAGATTTTTCTTCTCTGATCTCTGCGCCTGTAGAGGACCGAAAAACTCGAGACTCGACTGTTACCGAGTATTTTCAGCTTTTAAATTAGAAATATTTCGAGTAACAGTGTCAACTCGCAAATATAACACATTGTTCAGATTTGTTTTATTCGATGGTGAGGAAGATGCGAAACCTAGAATGTGAAATGTGCTTTAGTTGCATTGTTAGTTTATTATTAATTAATCTTGCATGGCAATCGACACGTAACAATATACATAACATGTTCACAAGTAATTCAAGAGGATAGGATGGATCTTCGATTATCTGCCTCTGGTATTTCCTGTACGCCATCGTTAAAAAAAAAAAAAAAGGAAAAAAAAGAGAAACGTCCTCAGTACTTTTTGATTCTCGATCGAAATCGTTTTCCACAGCTTACAATTTGATTTAGAAAGCTTATCACGATGTTGTAACGCACGTTCTCCAGTAAATCGAAAATTCAAAAAATTCATTTAACATTTAACATTTAATAAAACAGTACGCGAGATGCATGAAAGACTGAAACAAAGTAAAAAGATAAATAATTGAGAAAAGAGAAAATATTCTCATTGCTCACTTTCAAAGAATATTCTGCAAGCTGGCGCCGGTGATATTTAAAGACTTACGTAAGTAAGAGGACGTACCTGTAAGTAAAAGACACTGTACCAGTAAGTAAAAGCGTCACGAGAGAAGTTTGCACGACGTACGGGCGACCAAAGGCGAGAAGACTCCATCACGTTCGCCGTGCGATAAATACATTTTCATTACGGTATACGTCCGCGAAACGAGCGCATACCACGATAAATAAATAATCGTTCGCGCTTCACCAAGATCTCGCACAATTGAATCGCGCTTAGAAATCAAACTCGTCGACTCTGTCGATGTTCACAAAAATTCAACGATATAAAATCAAATTTTTATTGTTGTTGTTGTTGTTATTATCTAAAATTAAAAAATTCTAGAAAACGGAGTCGACCAGTTCGGCTTCTGAGTGCTGTTCAATCTTCGCTTTTCGTTCGACTCTTCGTTTGAACAGCCATTCCTCTCGTTTCGTTCTCTCCTTCACAACGGTTAGTGTTGAGTTTATCTATCAAACGAAGAGTTAATGATAATAATTATCAGCGAGAAATCCTAAGAGACTGCAACCACTCTCGATCGTGAACGATTCGTTTCGACCCTTCGACATCAACGTGCAATTATTTGCAGAGCAAAGCACGATACCTGTTGTTACATAATATGCAATTATTATCGAAGATTGTGAAATTAATGGAGAAAGGAGTTATAAGAGGGGAAACTTTGCTCTACAAATAGCTATATAACCGTACGATCATCTGTTGGATCGAAGGGCTTGTTTCAAGTAATAGTTATATATCGTCGATCGTTGAAAAAACAATCCGCTGGATGTGACTCCCTAACACGATCATCTGGCACATGCGATTAAATAAATAAGTTCCAGTTGCACACCTCTTGTCCGACCTGCAACTCACTTGAAAATCGAGTCCCTCCTCTTCTTTATGACACCACCCTGATTTCTGTTCGCGGAATTGTCAACCTTGTCCCGGATCGTGATTAAAAACCAAGGACGTCGAACGCAGCCTCACCAAGATTTGTCCTCTCGAGGTTTCGTTCGATCATTTCGCTGTGAAGCCAGATTTACGAACTGAATGCACTTTTAACGTTCCTCTTAATACTTTTACTTCACTCTGGAATGAAATAAAAGTATTAAAGTTAAAGTAAAGTTACAGCGCAGCTAATTCTTGTCGACCACTTTTCTGCATCCCTTCGTTTTGTTAATATAATGTTGCTTTTATTTTTCAAAAAAAAGTTTCGACCTTCGAATGAAGAACGAGATTGATACTGCAGAAAAGAAGAAGACTGTTGAAAATTAGCTTATGCCAACCTCGAAGAACAAACCTCAGCAGAGGTTCTTCCGTTCCAACCTGATAACCTTAGTGACTTGGCGAATTTACGAAAACTCGCGTGTCATTCCCATCGCATTCCAGGTCCAGAACACACATCCCCCCCTCTGTTAAATTCAGCACACAACGAACAAAGAAACGTGACGTTTCCGAAAGGGGCAAAAAAAAAAAAAAAAAAAGAAAAAAAACGAATGGCGTTTGCGATTTTGCAAAGTCGGACGATTTATGGCGTTTGGCACTGATTCCCATGCTGGACCATTCGGGCTAACGCTTGCTAGAGCGTCTATCGTTGTCCATCGAAGTTTACAGAACGAGAAACGAATAAAATCGCGGCACTCGTTGCTCGCGCAACTAACAATTTGACGTCGAGGGGGAGAATTTGTGATTTTAGCGTGGAAAATTGGATGGTCAATTTGATCAATTTTTTTTATTACTCTATAGCGAATAAAGCAATTGAAAGACCGTTTTCATTCGGGATAGAACCGAAATTGAAATTGAAATTTCTTCTGTACGGTTTTCTGACTCCTTTTTGATGGCCAATTTGGCCAATTTTTCTTTCTTTTTTTTTCTTTTATTACTGTAATGAATAGAGCGACTGAGAGATCGTTTTCATAACGTCGAGTTGAAATTGACGTTTCCACCGTGTACTTCTTTGGTTCGCAGAAATTATCGAAACATTTTGATTGGTATAACAAGCCGGCATCTGGGCACGATTTGTGTGAGACAACGACGTCGTTAAGAGTTGAAAAAAGGTTCGCCAGGAGAACAATCGATTCGCGAACAAGTGAAAGGAATTTTCGTGATGTCGTAAGACGAAGAGTACAGTGGGTCAGCGTTTCACAAACTCTTTTGACCGCGAACGTGCTTACGACAAGCAATTATACGCTTATTTTCGTTCGCCAAGATAAATATCGACCATGAAAGACCATTTTAATAAACTATGTTCTTTCTTAAAATTTCATGCTAAACCCTTGTGATTAATTACATCGAAAAAAAAAAAAAAAAAATGTAAAAGTATCGCTGACCTCGCTAAGCAAAACCGTGCAACACACGTGGGACTTGATATCTAAGAATTATACATTCAATGACATAATTCGGTCCATTGCACTCGCGATACCTTGAAACTACCACGCAATTCATTCCTTTTTTACTCGCTTCCTTTTTTTTTTTTTTTTCTTCTTCTTGTATTTTCATTTCAATGCGATCGTCGCGAGTTACGTGTGACGAGAACGGTGAAACTCGTTACGAAACCGAAACGACACTTTTCACCGAGCCGATCAATGCGATCGATGAAGCGCGAGCGATAGAAAGACACGCTTCCAGGCAATGCTCGGACGTTACCCGTTCATTTGCGTACGTCCGTTTTTGCCGATCATTAACCAAGTTTATACGCCGTTCTTTTTCTCGTTCCGCGTGCAATCTCGTCCGGCAAGAAAGCAACGTCGACAGGAACCCGAGATGTACATTGTAATTTTTACGATCGTTTTTCCTTCGAACCGTACAGACAATTGACGTCCTCGAAACGAAGAAAAGTTGAAGAAAGAATGGCTCGACGAAAGAATGGTTCGTAGACTGGGAAGAAATTCTTGGTTCGACAAACAGAGAAGTAAGCTTAGAATACTCTAAATGAAATGGGTTGGCAAACAGGAATTTATTTAGATGGGAATTTATTTTTCGAAACGGGGCGAACGAGAGGAAAAATTCAATTCAATGTGCGGTGGCACGCGTAGCTAACATCAATCAACGATCGATAATGATCGAGTCTAATTGCATGTATCTATATGCATTATGCATACGCGACTGTAGGAGTATAGGTGTATTCGTCCGTACGTACGAGAGATAACCAGTTTCGAAACAGGCATGCTCGATGCCTGAGCAAACACGCGTCTCTGAATTAAGTCATAAAAGTTTCAGATGATTAAGTCATTTCTTTTCTTCTTTTTCTTTTCTTTTTTTTTTTTTTGGCCCTTTATCGATGGAGTTAATTGAGCTTCGAATTCCTTCGTGTAATCTTTTCAGTGGGAGAAGCATTTATCTTAATTAAAATGTAATCGACTTATCGATCCTATGTACATACGTTTATCATACTTATCATCTCTCTAGAAGAACGATCGCTACATATTCCTATTCTTATGATTCACGGACACAGAAAATGCTTACACTTTTGAAATCATCACCTAAAGTGTAAATCCAAGCTTGGCAAATTTTCTAACTGATTTTAATATTCCCCTTTAGAGACTGTGAGGATCGATGATTTTTCAATTTCCTAACAGAACGACTAGCAAGACAAAAAAAGGTCCCGCGAAATTTTCCCCGCGATTAGATCGCGTTCTAATTACCATCATCAGGTTAATTGTCCGGAACGTGTTTGCTAGCTTCGTAATATTGCGCTGGGTGATATTATTGCACATTACATTCGAGATTACATCTGCCGTCTTCCCAGATTTCGTTCACATGAGCGCGTGATTCCGCACGCGATTACGCGAACTCGCGTCGAACTGTTAGGCTTAAGTAATCTCGATGTCTCCGTGGTTATTAAATAGTCTTTCATTGTCGCTCGTCATTTGTCTTTTCTTTTTCTTTTCGTGAAAAAACGGAGCCATTCATTTTCAAGTAAAACAAAAAATTAAAAAGCGAATTCCGTACAAACGATCGGTAATTATCATGCGTTATCATGATATCGGGTCATTTCGCGTGAAAAAAAAAGTGGAAGATTTTAAGCGCAAGTCTTTTTGACAGAGGTAGTTTGATCAACTCTTTAAGTTCGCTGTGTAAAGATTTTTTGTGTATACTAATTTAGAAAAGAACATCTTTCCCTGCATTTTAATTTGTGGTTCTTGAGAGGCATTAAATAAAAGAAAGGCGGTGAAATGCCAGGTCCTCTTTTTCCTAAGACTCTCGAAATCCCCGCCTCTTTTTCCTACGTGCCGCATAATTTCTTCTCACGCAATTAAGATTAACGTTCACGTTCTCACGAAGCGAACCGGCTGTAATTCATGCGTTCGGGAATTCAAACCGTCGCGTTGCCTTTTCTAGAGGAAAACTGTCTGATACGGTTCTTCAATAGTTCACGGACTCGGTGAACTTTTCACCACCAACGAATAAGTCTCGATCAAATGAATTAAAGAATTACAACGAAACAGATTAAATTATCGAAGAGAAACTGATTTAACTGATATTTTGAGAATTATAAATTCGAATTTTACGTTTTAGAATTTCAACAAATTTGGATTCACGAAGGCCTAGTTACAGACATATATTATTATCTAACGAACTCTAGCCATTAGAACGATCTTCTTGGGTCTAATCTTCGTTTCGTGGCAGAAAAGTCGCGAAAATGTTGCATCAGCGTTTTTCAATCTCTACCGCTCGCCGGAAAAAGAATTCCAAATTTTTGTCAATTTAAGGAACTTAGAGAAAAGACCAAAAGTAATCGGATCTGGATGTTACAAAAGTCGATGAGATGTAAGGTGAGAAATACTTTAAAATCCAGTTCTGTTCGAAACTGATTTCTACTCGACGTATCCCACGATCGAAGTTCTTAATTCGACAAAGGCGATCGACTCTCGAGATAAGACTATCGAGGTCACAGGTAGAAACCAGCGCGGCGAAGATGAGACTCGGTGTTTCAGCTTTTTGCCTGTCCGTAATTTTCCTACTCGGGTAAGGCCGCTTCCGAGAAACGAAAGCCAACTGAACCAGTCGGGACCACCCATCGTGATTTTCCACGCTGCAATCACGAATCAACCTTCTCCCCTGCGAATCGAGTGCCTCGATTAACAGTCCATAGACCCTAGGAAACGAGTCTCGAATTCCAATCTACCGGAACACTTCTCCTCCGAAACAACGAGCAACACATATTACGTTCTTATACAATAAACGGAAGGACAATCGGTCCAAGTTGTTTTTTTCTTTTCTTCTTTTTTTTTTTCTCACACTGTCGTCTCGTCTCTGATCAATTTCTTTCCTCGCGTTTCGAACGCGTGAAGCAACAACGCATCTTCGTTAACCAGAATCCAAATCTTCGTATCGGGCCGATTGCTGAACCTTCAGACTTGACTGATCGATGAATCTCTCGCGATTACAAGAAGAATCGATATTCAGGGAAGTTTCTAACGAGGTCGTGGCCTGGGCAGAGGCTGGATCTGCTGCTGATGATGCGAGTAACCGCTCCTCGAGTTAACCGGCATCGGCTGTGGCCTGTCGGGACTGTCGTCCAGGTTCAAACCAGCCACCAACTGAGCAATTTCTCTGTCCTTCTTCTCTTCTTTGGGCAACGCGTTGCCATTCTGAGCGCTGAAGCCTAGCGAGGCCAAGCTTCCGTGACTTCTGCTACGATGCTCCGCCCGGATGCTGTATGAGAATGCTCTCTCATTCAGGTGGCCCTTTCTCCGGTAGATTCCAGTTCCGAAGCGCGACTCGTTCTCTGGACTGTCGGACTGGATTCTGTTCATCTCCGCGGCAGTAAGATCCGCGTGAGAGGCGGCTAGCCTTCTGGATGCGCCCAGAGTCGAGGAATCCGCTTCGGGATGCTGTCTTCTGCCTCTGTTCCCGGCTGTCCCGTAAGTTCCAGCTGGATAGATGGCCGCAGCCGGTGGAGGAGGCACTACAGGCAGCGGAGCGTACACCGGAACGATTGGAGCGGCCGCTGGGATCGGTCTGAGCCCTTTAGGATGGTGGTGAGCCTTCCTCGGCAAAGTTGCAGCGGGCACTAACAACACTGGCGCTGGTCTAGCTAACGTCCCCGCGACTGACCGGCTGCTAGGTGGCAAAGGATGAGGATGATAGTGCTGTTGCCTCACCGGATGGCCCAGAGTGTGGTGTCCGTGGCCGTTGGTGTACATTCCTTGATGCAACTGTGGATGAAGGTGAGCCTGTTGCAAGGGATCTTCGTGGACGGATCGGTTTTTGATCTTTTTCAGCTTCTTGTTCGCCTTTCTGCGAACCGAGGAGGAGGACGATTCTTCGAGGAGCAAAGGTTGAGATGGCGGAGGCGGTGGAGGCGGCGGAGGAGGCGGAGCGACCAATTGACGAGGTCTGGACCCTTTCGTGCTCCTCAGAGTGCCTTGTTCTTGATACAGACCGTCCACCTCGTCTCGACCTCTGGCCCAGACCTTGTGATTCTCGTCCCCATTGTACAAACTGAGGTCGTCCGTCGAAGTGGCGTCCAAACGAGTCGCTTGAGGACTGTCAAGGGTCGTACTAGAGCCACCGAGGGTGTGATAGAGACTGTTGTTCGAAGGGTGTCCACCGGCGACTCCGTTAGTCGTCGTGGTGGAAGGATCGAGACCTTTGGCGTAGCTGCTGTCCGCGTACGCGTGAAAGCAACACCTGACCAGGGCGTTGGCCGCCATGTCGCGTTTGCATATGAACGCGTGACACTCGAGAACTTTGATGCCGGTGGTTCGTCGCAAAACCGCGGCGAAGAGCGGCGGATGATTGGCACTGGGTGTTCTAGCGAAGGGAGAGTCCAAGGGGAGAAACCTCGTATTCGAAGCGTCGCCACTTCCGCCTTTAACATGCCTCACTGCCGCGCAGTAGTGCAGAGCCTCGATCGGGAAGAACCTGGTGACCTTCTTGCGGTGCTCGTCCACGTTCTCCAGCAACAGGCCGTTACTCCAGACGCTCAGCCAGGAGTCCAATCCACGTGCTCCCAGGGCACCCTGTTCCGGATACAGTTCTCTCAAAGGTTCCTGAACTCCGAGCAAACCCTCCTTGCTCGCATGGGGCACCGAGCTACCTAGGTAGAGGACTCGGCAGCGACAGTACGGCGTCGCCGTGTCCTGGTTGGCGCCTCTCATTTTCGTGTTCGATAGGTCAGCTTGTTGAATCCAATCCAACTCCTATTGTCCTATAGGTCCTTTATTGTCTTCTTCTATCGAGGAGGTATCTTAAAAGAGGAATCTCGATAGAGACGTAATATAACGGCCGACGACGAGGAAGTTAGCAACCATTCAGAACCGTCGAATCATCAAACATCAATGTAATTCTATTTCGACTCGATCGAATTCGATAGAATTCGAAGGACACACGCGATCGCAAGGTGCACACGGAACAACGTTGCGGAGGACTCCACCCGGTGATACACTCCACTCGCGATTACGCAGTCACTTTCCAAAGACGCAGCTCGGGTTGCAAAATACGCGTGCGTGGACGAGAGAGAGCCGCTCTCGGCTACTTTGCAGCAGCTGTAGCCGCCGCTCGCGAGAGATCGCGTCAGGCCATTATGGCCGCCTTCTGACGGCTTCCCCACCAGCTACCTCTACCTTGCCGTGTCTCCTCTTCTATCTGGCCTTCTCCTCCTTTGGGTCCGTTCGTTTTTCTTTCCTCCGACACACTGAGGCCCGGACTCTTACCAACCTTTTTCAATTCCCCTCCTACCAATTCTTCTTCTCCCTCCTTTCTCTACCAGTCGTGCAGGCCAGGTCCTCCTGTGGTATGCGGTGTGCACCAGTGGCGTCTACGTCCTCCTGGTCGCCCCTCACCACCACGTGTACCGATCCACCGACAGGTTACACACTCTCTTCGCCGAGGGAACGCTCACCGACGATCGAACGGGCCCGCTGAGTGTGTCGCCGCCGTTGGAATCCAGAGGCGCGGCCGACAGGCCTCGTCAGCCTCGCAGGCTGTCGCTTTTGACGTTCCTCGGTGTCTCATCAGGCCACCACGAACTTCAATAAACGTTCCAACATACACGCGTCTGTGTTCCAGTTACGTTCACGCGATACTTTTCACCGAACTTTCCACGATTGCTTCGATCTTCTTCGCCACTACTGTTCCGTCTTCCACGTAGATGGCGTTGCAGTCACGTTCACTCGGCGACTGGTCCCACTTCGATGAATTTTCCTCTTTATTTATGGCTCGCAAACAGTCGTACCGGTATATATAAAAAAAAAAAAAAAAAAAAAAAATAGAAGAACGGCGAGGTCGGTGTGTTTTTCACGGCGAAGTTTTTGGCGAAGAGGCAGGCACGAAAAGAAGGTAAGAGTGGAATAGCGAGCTGTTAACGCTTGTACGCTTCTCGTCGGACTGAGGACTGACGGAAGGCGTGAGACACCGACCGACTGGGCCCCACTATTCCGACCGCCAGGCCCCTTCTCCCTTTCTTTCTCTCCTCTTTCTCTCTTCTTCCCTCTGCCTTCGTCTGCTTCTCTTTCTGACGCTTTTCTACTTCGGAAGAGGCACTCCCTGGACAAAGTCGTACCTGCCTCGGGAACACTTCGCCCGATGGGGTGTCTGGAACCGTGCCGAGGAAAATGAACATTCTTCTTCAGCCGATTTTACCGAGGCACACCGATAGCTTCTCTTCCTATCGTTTCGCTTCTTTCTCGCGGGATCGAGTGATGCAATCGATACAATCATATATTGTTCCGAGCTGTATCGTCTGTCCCGTGTCTGCAGGAAGCTTACGATGGAGAGATCATAGAATTACGATCAGTCGTAAGTGAAGTGTAAAAATTGAACTTATATCAATCTACTTTTATAATTCTAGAAGAAAAATTTCAGAAAGATAGAGAGATAGTTGGTGTAGCGTGCTTCGAGACGAGTCGAAGGCATTCGATGATCGAGGCATCTCTGAGAATTATTAATTTTGAATCGCGGAGTCATAAATTTCATTCAGCGAAGAAAGGTCATAGCTACAGAAGAGGCTAAAAGAAATTAAAATGAAGAGTATAAGATAAATTACATAACGAGGGAAAATTCACTTTAAAAAATAAATTTAAATAATTACAATGATCTTGCAATCAAAAATTGTGAATGTGACACTATGATTTCTACGTCGCGAAGAAGACTCTTGAAAACTGAACAGAACTTTCAGACACTGTGATTTACGGACGAAAACGCAGGCAAGGGGTTAAACACCGATCGTTCGTGAAAACGATACACGTTACAATCGAATTCATGAATACAGCATTCATAAATATTTAGCGAAGCAGTCGCTCGTCGCATCTATATGTCTCGCGAGAAGATTTAAGGATCGACGTTTGAACTTTTGGAATTCTCCTTCGAAACTGTATATTTCTACTGACGAATCATCGTTGTCGCGACTCGAGCCATCCATTTTGCCGACGAAAACGTATTCAGAATTTTATATTGAACTTCGAACGACGAAAAATTCGACTATCCTTCGGAAGGAAAGTTCGAGCGAATAAATTCTTTGGAAACGGAGGATAGGCACGATAACGAAAGGAGTTACGAACGGTGTGTTGCGATTAAACGCTAATGACTTCATTTTCACAGACGTGTTAACAGCGGACGCGCGTTCGATTCGTGCTGTTGCGCAATAAATATTCGCGATTTCGCCTTCGTGGCCACGCGACGAGCCGCGAAGCGGAGCGGGCATCCAGACGACTCGACCTGGAGACCTCGAATCGGCCTCTGTCAAAAGAGAATCGTAAGCGTTACACCTCGTTCACGGTAGCCGCGTAGTCTCTGACCTATAAAGGGCAAATCGGTGTGTCTGATCTTACGTGCAGGTGTCAAAGTGCCGCCTGATTACTCCTCCTTCGTTCGACATTTTATCTGCAAGATACATTAGTTGAGAGAAAGTCCATCGATCATGTGTAGAAAGTGTGGTCGTGAAGGGACACTGATCTAAAAATTATTGAAAATTATTGGATCACCAAGTTTCAAATTTCTAGGAGATTTCAGAATTGGTTAAGAAGCTTCTTTTTCTGAAAATTCATGCTCTTGCTTCTTGATTCGCGAAGAATCCTGACACTTTTACACTTGCGTGTACATTTGAGAGTTTTATACTTATATGTATGTTATTTTGTAATTAAATGGAGATACTTCTAAGTCTCATCTCGTGAATCTTACCTCTTGAAGAAGATCAAATTTTTAATTAAATAAAGAGAGCTATTACAAGAGATGTTGAACAACATTTGTTTGAAACGAACTCCTATTAGTTCCAAAGAAGAAACAGCAAAGCTTCGCGTGAGTAGTATAGTCGCAATTAATCACGTCTACGTCCACATAGCTTTAAAATACTCTCCCCGTTTCACGATCGAGTAACTTCTATCTCGCACTTCTTCTAATTACTATAAAACATTTACTTCAACATTTCTTCCCCATCTAATTCGGACAACATGCAGCAATCTCAAATTTTCGCACTCCAATAACTTACGATAAGAAACGTTAATTACACTAGCTGGCGAGAAAAATTCATTGGCTTCACTTTTATTTCTAATCAATTTTAAATCAAATGAAAGTTAATTAGTTGTTTCTTCTTTATTTGCTCGTGAAATGCTTCGTTAGCAAAAATCACGTAGTTCACACTTTTCTGGAGAGCAGTTTTAAAATTGTCAATCAATTCCATATCAGAATTATCTTTTCATCTGATTATCGGATCAAGTACGAGTGATAAAGTTTGGCTAGTTGAATCCTATATTGTTGTTTATTGCATCCTGTACAATAAAAATTTAGCGATCTTTTCGTTGCGCACGATCCTTAACTTTATGTTTCGCAGCACACGAAATTTCACAGTGCGAATGGGCCACGGTCAGGGTCTTCGGTCACGCGACCCTGATTCCACGTTTTCTGGCTTCACGTGATAATCTCGCGTTCCACGATTCCTCGCCGCTTCCTGCACTGACGACTAATTACATGGAAAACGTCGTCCGCTCTTAATCCAAGGGGAAGACGTAAAAATTGCGAGGGAAACAGCTCTTCCACACCGGAAATTCCAGCTGGAATTACTCATGGTCTGCGTATGACGCTGCAATTAGGATTCTTAATGGTTACGTTTTTTTCTTCCACTCGATCGTTTCGTTCTTCACACTAGAAGTAGAAGAAATATTTTATCTATATCTATTATATATTTGAAATCATAATGGACAAAATGACTGGGAAATAAATTTCAACCGTCCAAACATAATACTACCGGATTGTTCTAAACAACAATTATGTAGATGCATATCCGTTAGTCGTGGAATAAATTCCTCTATAATAAAGTGGTTTCTTAATCATATCTCGTGCGAGTGTCAGATAGAAAAATTTTCAACGAAGACAACTTTCACATCTGCGTTTAAACTTTCTAATAGAAAAAATGTTTCGACGATATATGCATAAGAGTAATAATCAGAATGAGAATTTAGAGTAACGTTGCGTCGACTTGAAGGAGCTTCAAAGTAATTTCGATAGAATCCAGTAACTTTTATAATTAGAAAATAAAATTGCAGAGAATTAAAGTACCAGAGAAATATTTTCAAACCTCTACTTCGTCTCTGTGTCCAAAGTGGATAAAAAAGAAAAAAAAAAAAAAAGAAACAGAACAGAACGCCGAAAACACACGGACCAATCGAGACTGTAGCATTAGTATGCAAATAACCGGGTCCAACACGTTTATTTATAACCGTGAAAGATCCTTGAAAGGATGATCCTTGAAATTGATGTAAATCGTTAACTCGATACCTATATGTGTATTTTACGATCTTCCTATCGATTTTATCTAACCTCGAACCTCACGTTTTTCTGTGCCACGTTTGCACATTTTATCGACGAGTAAATTACGAATTCTTTAAACTTTTTTTCTTTTCTGTAAGAGTTTGAGACTATTTTGCAAATAAAATAAACTTCCTTTGCAGAATAATTAAATTTTTATCTAACAGAGAAATTGAATTTTCTTTTCTTTTTTTTTTTTTTTATAAGTCTCACGAGAATCCTGCTTTCAGTTTAGTTTAGTTCGCGGATGAAAAGATACGTGGATACGTGAAAAATATGAAAGTCGAGTGAATTTATTGCAGAGCAGCGAGTGGATTACACCCTGACTGTTTTGAAGGTTCCTGAAATCGACGATCGAGTGGGTCAGTGGGTCGTTGTCACGTTAATTACGAGGAATCCAGAGGCTGTGTGCACCTCGAGCAATCACCTCCTTGTACAGGAATTCTCCTCGCTCTCTCTCCTTTATCTCTCCTCCTCGCCATTTTCAACAACGTCAGCATGGAAATGAAACGCTTTGTTGAACGTTTCTCTCGCGTAAATTGCAATTTTCAAAACATCAATCGAACATCTTTTCTATTCAAATTTAAGTACGATGATGCATGCCAGCCTGACAACATACCAACGAAGTCTGTCGAAGTTTTTCACCAAGTTTCAATTCTTAATGTTTACAATTGCAATGAAAATGTGTATGTCGTATTTTCAAAAAATTAAATTCCATTCAATAAGTAGTAAACGGTATGTCAAATTAATTTTCACGCACTACATGTGTTAAACTACGAGCCAACTTTCCCTAATAAGAGGAATAAACATTCTAATATTTATCCGAAGGAGAATAAATTGCGATCGTTGTAGCACGCAACTGCATTCGTTATAGCATTCTGATGTCATTCGTAAAAAATTGCTCATGGTATTCGTTTCAACACACTTCACTGAACGAGTATTTATTGGTAAATTAAAGGTGGAATGCCTGAAATAATTGTAGCCGGATAACCGGAGTGATGCCGGAATCGTGACAAACTTTTACCAGAGAGTTCGAAGTTACAAAGAAATCCCACTTATACTTCCGGTAAAGGAGCAATACCGGTCTTGGGATAGCCGGGGAAAGCTTTTAAGATATGTACATTGGCAATCTTCTTTCTCTTTGTCCGGGTTAGCAATGTTAGTGCTCGTTTCCTGTTTCCTTCAAAAATTTTCATTGCACGCTTGCAGATTGACAGATCGTCTTCGTGAACAACATTTTAAATTACTTTACGTAAGTATAGCACTGTTCACGAGTACCTGGACACTTTCAAATTGTCACGACTACGTATAAATACAATTTAAAAATGAAATTTTCTATTCTAATTTTGATCTCTGATTTTACTTTAATTCAATTGAAAACCACCAGGGAAAAGTATGATGAGACAGCGTTCGTTGGCGTACAAATGCTTACGACAGCGTAACTGTAATGTATACAATAGACAAAAAGAGAAATTACGACGTACAAATGATATTGCAATCGTTTCGAGGAACGCTGACACGTTTTCCAAATCACCGTTGAGATCGGGCCACGAGACTAAAAAGAATATCGGTCAACATAATTCTAAGCGCCGGTGACGCG